AACCCTAAAAAGACTTGGAATATTATCAACGAACTTACATCTAAGAATCGAAAAACTGCTCAAATTACCGAAATTAATTTGAACGGTCACTTAATTAATGATTCTAATAAAATCGCTGATGCATTTAATGAATATTTTTCTAACATCGGCCCCAAACTTGCAGATAACATAGACTTCAATGAAGGCAACCGGTCCTACCACGAATATTTATCTGGTCAAAATACTAATACGACGTTCCAGTTGAAAGAAACAAATTCCTTAACAGTTTCTGTACTTTTGTCCAAACTAAGTAGGTCAAAAGCAGTTGGCTTGGACAAAATCTCCGCTAGATTACTTCGAGAGTGCCCTGATTTAATCGCAGGCATATTTCGATCTATTATCACAGGCATATTTCCCAATGAGTGGAAATGCGCAAAAGTTGTCCCAATTCACAAGCAAGGGAAACGTAATTGCGTTGATAATTAATTTTTTAGTAGTTGAAATCGTCCGTTTTTGACGTCTTGCAAGTCAAACGCTGTTAATTTACATACCGTCGAAGTAAACAATTTAATCAAGTATTTTAAGTATTTTACCTTTTGAGAAGAAGATATATTCTTGAATGGAGACTTTTTGCCTTGCTTAGTTTAAAATTGGTCCAAAAATCCCGAGATATTTGTAAAATATCATCATATACAGGTATTTTGAAATATAATATTGTTGTCAGTTGCACGACAACTTCAGATCATTGTTCAATATTGTCTACTTTTAATAGCGCAAACATACAAATCGATGAGCTGTATAGGGATTTTATATTTGCATGTTACTAAATTTCCCAAAATTAGAACTTCAATTGACAATTGTTTTTTTTGTTCCAGTTTGCATTGATCCATATACAGTAATGTACCATTTAGTATTTACATATTGACTATCGAGTATAAATGTTTACGAATACATCAGTTAATTATTAAGCAGATGTTAATAGCGTGTGTGCGTGTGAAATGAACATTTATCCATACAAGGATTTGTTATTTTATTATATATTCTACCACCTCAAACTCAAATTATAGGCATATAGCAAATACTGTAGTTTAGAATAATGTGTGTTTACTTTGATGCACAGTTCAAATAATCAGTAAAATTACTTTATTTTGATACACTAATGTCTATTGATCTTAGGGGCGGACCATTAGAAATCCCGGGAGGGGGGGTATAAAATTTTTGCAGCACGAATTTTTTTTTTAGTCTCGTGTCTCTGCAAGAATTTTTCTTAATGCATTTAACCTCTGCACGATTTTTTTTTCGAGACTATTTGTACTTCGCTGTTTGCTTGCACGATTTTTTTTTCTCTGACGTAATGGCTGCACGAATTTTTTTTCCAGGCATTTTCCTTTGCACGAAGTTTTTTTTGGGAATTTTCACCCCCCCTCCCGGGATTTCTAATGGTCCGCCCCTTATTATATTTAACAAGTACTAGTACCCAAAAATACAGCATTGAGATATGTTGGCCCAGTGCGACACCACAAATTATTATTGTCTCCCACACTTCGCGTTTAAAGAAAATGAAAGCGGCTTGTTGCTCGTTTAACGCCGGATTAACCACGTGTCAAATACGGCAAATGCCGCGGGCCTCGCGCTTTACTGTGCTACGCCCATTTTTACGAGAACACGGCCATTTTCTATTGGGACACACCCATTTTAGGTGCCTCGCGAATTTAGGGACCTCGCGCATTTAGGGCCCTTAGGCTTGGCAGTTCGCCCTAGCACGGCCCCGGGAAAATATGCAATACTCGTGTTCATATAATCTCTAGTTGCGTTGAGCTGTTATATTATGATCCTGTTTAAACCCACCAACTGCGCCAGGCAGGCCATTATCTCGTTTATAATTGATGCAAATAAATTGAAATATTGAAAAAAAATATTTAACACTTTTGTGTATCTTTCAATTCAATGGTTTGCATAAAAAGAAGAAAGGGGGAGGTTTGGGGGCCTCGCGCTAAAATTTGCCACAGCCCTCGCGCGACGTTAATCCGGCCCTGGTCACTTGTCGGTAGTTCTTGCGGTTTTAATGCCAATTGATAAAGATCAAAAGAGAGCACTGATGACTCCCCCCGTCGGAGAAATACTGGCGCAGCCCAAACCAGCTCAGTGAAATATGGGGCCCCAGGGCCAATTATACCCTTGGGGCCCCGGTGAACCACAATTACCCCCCTCCGTCGACAAACTTTTTATCGTCTTGCAAATTTGTATTTGCCTGTCTTCCTTGAGCTGGGGTCGCGGAGAAAATTGCTCCCTTTGCCGCCTCCCTGCATGGGCGGCCCTGGCGCCGCCCTTGTCTTATCATAACTACCTACCCTAATTCAAGCTGATTCAGACTGAGTACTCCATTAATATCTGGTACGTGTCCATGAATGTTAATGGTAATGTACATATTTTGTATTTTAGGAATAAAGGTTTAATTGTGTGATATATTACTAACCATGGACCTTTTATTTAGAGTTTCAGATATAGAACTTCATGTGTGACTGTCCATCGGAAAACGTACATACCATATATATAGCTAAGGTTTAAAATTAACAGATATAAAAGACGTTTATGCGGCCGTTCGCCATCTGTTTAAATAGCGAACGATTACTAGCTATTAAAACGTATTATAAAAAACGTTTTCTTACCGTTTGCTAGCTATCCGTATTTTTTTTTCATTTAAACGGAAAAGCGTTGACGTACGTTTTCCCATGGGGGGTTACATGTGCGATTTTATGTGAAATCGTTTCACACGTGAAATTTCACTTTTTACTTAATGTGAAATCCTTTCACCTATGAAATTTTACTTCTATAGGTTCATATAAAATTATTATAACACGTGAAATCCTTTAAATCACATACGAAACTTCGTTTGTAACTTTATGTGAAATTTCACTTTTTACCTCATGTGAAATATTTCACATGTGAAATTTCACTTTTTACTTCATGTGAAATATTTCACATGTGAAATTTCACTTTTTACTTTATGTGAAATCTTTCACATAAGAAATTTCACTTGTATCATCATATTGTAATTTGTAATTTCATGTGAAATCCTTTCACGTGTGAAATGTCAGATGTGATTTCACCTGAAATCATTTCACATGTGAAATTTCCCTTGTAATTTCATGTGAAATCCTTCCACATCTGAAATGTCACATGTGATTCCATGTGAAGTTTTTTCACATGTTAAATTTCACATGTGATTTCATGTGACATTTTTTCAGATGTGAAATGTCACATGTAATTTCATGTGAAGTTTTTTCACATGTTAAATTTCACATGTGATTTCATGTGAAATCCTTTCACATGTGAAATGTCACATGTGATTTCATGTGAAATCCTTCCACATGTGAAATGTCACATGTGATTTCATGTGAAATCCTTTCACATGTGAAATGTCACATGTGATTTCATGTGAAATCCTTTCATTTGTGAAATTTCACATGTGATTTCATGTGAAATCCTTTCACATGTGAAATGTCACATAAGATCACATAATTTCACATGTTTTCACATGACTTCACATGAAATCACATGTGTGAATTCATGTGGATTTTTTGTGAGGGTGGCGCGGCTCAATGAATTAATTGCCGCTTTCAAACAGAGGTTTATTGTTTTAAACCTCTAGAACCAGGGTACCTTTTGTCACTCTGAGGCCAGCGAAATAACCTCTTCCGCAACATACACGTACGCGTCTACTATCGTCAAGAAACAATCAATACGTATAATCGTTGTGGTCTGTGGGATTTTAATTCAATAGTGTAAACCTTGCAGTTTTAGGGAAGCCTCACATACCGATTTTTTCCACAAGAAACGTCATATGTTCGTTTTGGGGGTGGGGGAGGGGGGTTTACAGTAGCCTGCATGGCAGGCGGTATTTCTACGGGCAGCGAAAATTAGGGAAGCAAAGGAAATACCGTCTGCCGCAAAACTAGGGGTTTTTGAATTACCCGTCCGCTGGTGAACGGAAAAAACGGATTGGTTAGTATTTTTATGTAATTGTCAATCAACGGCTAAATTCGGTTAAATGTTAATCATTAACCAAATGTTTTGACGTTTTGAAATTAGTTCACGTCAAGTCAGACCAGAAATGGAATACCATAATAAAAGAAGCAAATTTAAAGATACAAGCTGAAAAATAACCCCCTAAGTAGTGTTTTTGATAGCGATTCGTACAATGAAGATTTTAACAAAGAAGATACGTCCGAAGGGGCCGAACTGTTATGACTTATGATCGGCGAAAGGTATGGGCTAGTCTATATTTTCGTTCAGACAATTACATGCGTATTAATTTGATAATATACGATCTCGCTTGACTTTCAAAGGCCATAAATCACAATAATGTTGACATTTTACTAAAACTATCGATAGAAATTAGGAGATATTTCTTCACTGAATCGAACGGTGGGATTTTCATATAGGCCCGTCATGTTCTGAACGTAACCAAAGATACTTGATAGATATACGAACCTCCAAAGTATGAACTAGGGGCCGGTTGATGCAGTAATTATCAAATAACAGTTAAATAAACTCTATACCCGTTGAATATGTATAGTTGTAAACAAATAAAAACTATCGTTCTATAAGGTTCAAAACTTTCAGTTTGGTTGTTGACTGATGATGAATCTATAGTATAGACTTGCATGCTTTGTATTTTGAGCTTATTAAACCACCGTTTTAAGGCAGCTAAAGGAAGAATGCAGAAGTTTAGGAAACTTCGTAATAGAGTAGCATCGGAAATTACAAAGGCAAAGAGGCACTATTATATAATGAACATTGGAAGGCTGAATACCAACGGGGATGCCCGAATGTGGTGGAAGAAGGTCTGGAAACTGACTGGAAAGAAGAAACCTTCTATCAATCTCAGTGAGCAGGGATCAGACTCCAAACTCGAAGATAGTGATGCTGCAAATATGATTAATTTAATACGTTTTTCGCAGATCTAACAAATGATTTCCCATAAATTCAATCCAGATGGTCATCGTACGGTCATACAGATGTCTTGCCGACTGTTACACCCGAAAGCGTTGCGAAAAAGCTTTTGTCCATTCAGTCTCACAAAGCTCCCGGTCCAAACGACCCCTACCTCAAGATAATCAAAATGTTTGCGCATTTTTTTGCCATCCCATTAGCAAACATTTTTAATGCATCATTTGGGCAGAAGGTGTTTCCAAAACTGTGGAAAGAGTTCCGCCTAGCACCTATACCAAAAGTGGAACCGTGCACGAATCTGGATGAAATAAGACCAATAGCTCTCACTAGCACAATTTCAAAAATACAGGAGTCTTACGTGGTTGATTGGGTGTATGACGATATTGAGTCTAAAATTTGTAAGGAACAGTATGGTGGTGTCCCACGCTCGTCAGCAGTTCTTGCGCTCGTTCACCTTCTACACAAATGGAATAAAGCGTTGGACTTATCACAACGAGTAATACGAATTGTGTTTTTGGACTTTCGCAAGGCATTTGATCTTATTGATCACAACCTGCTATTAGACAACTGTTGTAAAATTGGAGTCAGACCGGGGCTTATTGGCTGGTTGGGGTCATATCTGAGTAAGAGGATGCAAGTGACAAGATTTGGTAACGAACTTTCTACAAGCTGCATGATTAATGGAGGAGTTCCCCAAGGTAGTCGTATTGGTCCAATCGCGTTCGTCGTTCACATTAACGGACTGAAGGCAGTGATAAAAGATACCGAGAGCAGTTTGACTAATTCGAGCAATGATGATAATGATGATGGTGATGATGACCTCACTCTTTTCATGGATGATACAACAGTGTCAGAGGTTATTAACGTCCGTGATCATGTCTCGGGTACGCAAGTTGGGAGTATGAACAACAATATTATGAAAGTTATGGATTTTGCCACGTCTCAAAAAATGGAGTTGAACCTGAAAAAATGTAAGGAAATGCAGTTAGACTTCCGTCAGAACAAAACAGTTATTCCACCACTAACATTCAATGATACAACGTTGGAAAGGGTTTCCACTTTCAAACTATTGGGCTTATGGATTGACGATAATTTAAAGTGGCAAACTAATACTGATTATATAATAGGGAAAGCAGTTAAGCGACTCTTTTTATTAAAAACTTTAAAGAAACACGGTGCTGACAAGATTGATATGAAACGGTTTTACATCTCTGCCATCAGGCCGACACTTGAATATGGAGCGCAAGTCTGGCATGGGGGCCTTACTAAAGCACAGAGCAGCAGTATTGAGAAAGTACAAAGAAGGGCTTTGAGAACAATTTATTCCGAAAAAGATTACGAAAAGTTATTGTTGAAAGCTGGAATGCATGCGCTTGAACAACGTCGCTATACTATGTGCATTGATCTTATCAGTAAAATGTCTGACCCGCAACACAAACTGCACCATCTTCTTCCTAATAAACTTTGCAAGGTACGGCAAAGGGTTACACGTCAGAATGGTCAATTGTTTTACAATTACCACTACAGAACAGAACGTTTTCGGAACAGTCCAATCGTCTCGTCAATTGAACTCTATAATAACTCTATTTTATAATGTAATATATAATATAACTTTATATATTTTTATCGAAACATTTTTAACACGTAGTGATAGTTTTTGGATCAGTCCATTTGTTTCGCCAATTGAACCTTTGTTAATAACTCTTCTTTTTTTAATATAACTATCTCTATTGAAACTTTTATAATACCTAATCTAGATAGTTCAGTAATTAATGTATATCTTCTATATATATGTAATGCGCGTTCTAATTTAGTTACTTACTGTAGCTATTCAATGTGTAATCTTTCTATAATAATAATAATAGTAATAAAAGGGCTTGGTTTATATTAACACATAAAATAAATTCCTTGATTCTCATCACTAGACACAGTCTACACTTTGAAATGTCGAAGATAGTGGGAGATTTATATTTTATATTTATATAATTTATATATCAATAGTTCGTATCTCCACGAACAATAAAAGAATGACTGATTTTCTTTAAAATACAATGAAATTTCACTCAAAATTCTGTTTGTTTCAAATTGGAAGTTTAAAATGGCAATAAAAACCCTATATAAAATATAAAAAAATTAACTGTCTTGAATTATTTTGTCGGGCGGTACATTTATATTGTATAACAAAATATAAAACATTTCACGAGGATTTTAAAATTCAGTCGGGCGGTGATGAGAATCAAGGAATTTATTTTATGTTGGGCAGTTGGGACTTGGGAGCAACTTGGGAGTGGCTAATTTTGAATATTTACTTAATGACATCTATAAATAGCTTTGATGCTTCAGGGGCGGTAGTTCATTTACACCCAGTTTTGCGGCAGGCGGTATTTCCTACGTACCGCCTGCCATGCAGGCTAGGTTTACAGCTGTGACGTTTCTCTGTAAATATCATGGAAAAGTTCGATAGTTTTTTCGAATACCTTAACATTTCGGAATCAACTTTGCAGAGTATAAAAAAGAAAACAACTTGAAAGAAAACGACTATTCAAATATAAGTGCTGGTAAACTAAAAATAAAAACTCCTTATATGGATAAACATTATAAACGTTCATTTTACATGTACATGCACGCACGCTAACAGCTGCTTAATAATTAACTTACGTATTTGTAAACATCAGTCGATAAATAAAATGGTACATTAATATGGACAAAATGGATCAAAACCTCTGAAAATAGCAGTTGTAGTTCCAATTCTTTTGGAGAATTTAATAGCAAATATAATCCTTAAATAGCTCATCGATTTGTATATGTTAGCGCTAAAGTCAAACGGCCGGGTCGTCGATCACGTTGAATAATGATCTGAAGTTATCATGCAACCGTCAACAATGTCTCAAAATACTGAATGTTTGATGATTTTTTTTACAAATATACCGGGATTTCTGGACCACTTTTAAACTTAGCAAAGCGAAAAGTCCCCATTCAAGAATATGTTTTGTTTCTCAAAAGGTAAAATACTTAGAATACTTGATTAAATTGTTTACTTCGACGGTGTATAAATTAACAGCGTTTGACTTGCAAGACGTCAAAAACGGACGATTTCAACGCGCTGTTGTTTATCGCGTATTCATTTGCCAAAAGAAGTATTTACGTCAATTGAAAGCTTGTTTATTAAAGAGCCAACTAGTAGAAGCATGATCGATTTGGAGCTTTATCGCATGGTGAAAATCGATTCTGTTAAGAGAGTATCGTAAATGAAGTAAGATAGTGTGCTCCAAAACTACGATTATTTATATTCCTAAAAGTAACTCAGATTTCCTGTAAGTCATGTACACAGTCCTTTGAATAACCGAAAACAAGATTTTTAGGGTTTTAGATCGATTAGAAACGGTTGTCGTCGTGAAATTTATCTGTAAAATCAGCGCATATTTTCCCAGAAAAAATGGCGATTTAGGGTGGTCGTGTTAAAACGGCATTTTCTCAAAGTTAAAAAAGCATTTGACCTAAAAAAATATGTGGTGCATTTTCCGATATAATAAGATATATCTGGGCAAAATTTGGGCAAAATCGATTTTTCAGTCGTGGCCGCTTTATGCCGGTTTGATTTTTGTGGACATCCTCTCTTAAAGGTGATCTACAGTCCGATCTGCGCATGTGCACAAATGAGCCCACTTTTTATGATACAAACAGTTTAACTATGTTTTGAGTTCTTGAAAAGCCTGATTGTTGTTTCTTGATCATTTATTATACTCTAGAAGCTTGAAAATATAAATAGTTGTCGAATAAAGCTCAATATTTTGGACACAAAAATGTAAACAAAGGCTTTGTTTACATACGGACTGTAGATCACCTTTAAGTGTTTAATAATTATATATGTAGTACAGTAAGTAATAAAATATCAAGCAATAAAATACACGAAACAAATACATAGTAAATACCTTGAATTACCATCCTTTTATCATGCAGTATTCTTCCCCGTTGAGAGTTTATTTATCGCACGACGAGCATGGGTCTGACTAGCCTGCATGGCAGGCGGTACGTAGGAAATACCGCCTGCCGCAAAACTGGGTGTAAATTAACTACCGCCCCTGAAGCATCAACGCTATTTATAGATGCATTAATTAAGTAAATATTCAAAATTAGCCACTCCCAAGCTGCTCCCAAGTCCCAACTGCCAAACATATAAAAATAAATTCCTTGATTCTCATCACCGCCCGACTGAATTTTAAAATCCTCGTGAAAACGTTTTATTTTTCGTTATACAATATAAATGTACCGCCCGACAAAATAATTCAAGACAGTTAATTTTTTCATATTTTATATAGAGTTTTTATTGCCATTTTAAACTTCCAATTTGAAACAAACAGAATTTTGAGTGAAATTTCATTGTATTTTAAAGAAACTCAGTCATATATTCTGTCATTGTTCGTGGAGATACGAACTATTGATATATAAATTATATAATATAAAATATAAAAAATAAATCTCCCACTGTCTTCGACATTTCAAAGTGTAGACTGTGTCTAGTGATGAGAATTAAGGAATTTATTTTATGTGTTAATATAAACCAAGCCCGTTTAGCCGTTTAGCTGCCTTAAAACGGTGGTTTAATAAGCTCAAAATACAAGCATGCAAGTCTATACTATAGATTCATCATCAGTCAACAACCAAACTAAAAGTATTGAACCTTATAGAACGATAGTTTTTATTTGTTTACAACTATACATATTCAACGGGTATATAAGACATATAAGAGTTTAATTAACTGTTATTTGATAATTACTGCATCAACCGGCCCCTTGTTTATACTTTGGAGGTTCGTATATAATATCTATCAAGTATCTTTGGTTCAGAACATGACTGATAGGCCTATATGGAAATCCCATGCACTGTTCGATTCAGTGAAGAAATATCTCCTAATTACTATCGATAGTTTTAGTAAAATGTCAACATTATTGCGATTTATGGCCTTTGAAAGTCAAGCGAGATAGTATATTATCAAATTAATACGCATGTAATTGTCTGAACGAAAATATAGACTAGCCCATACCTTTCGCCGATCATAACTTCGGCCCCTTCGGACGTATCTTCTTTGTTAAATATTTTTGTTCGAATCTCTATCAATAACACTATTTAGAGTGTTATTTTTCAGCTTGTATCTTTTAATTTGCTTCTTTTATTATGTTATTCCATTTCTGGTCAGACTTGACGTGAACTAATTTCAAAACGCAGAGTTTAAAAACGTCATGATTTGGTTATTGATTTGACAAACATTTGGTTAATGATTAACATTTAACCGAATTTAGCCGTTGATTGACAACTACATAAAAATACTAACCAATCCGTTTTTCCCGTTCACCAGCGGACGGGTAATTCAAAAACCCCTAGTTTTGCGGCAGACGGTATTTCCTTTGCTTCCCTAATTTTCGCTGCCCGTAGAAATACCGCCTGCCATGCAGGCTAGGGTCTGACTGCTGAGGACAAAGAAGGAGCGTATTATGAATACACCGGCCTCGTATACCGCCAAGCGCTCCAGAGAATTATATAGCGCAGACTGTAGACAGTAGTCCTCTGTACACGACTTTTATTTTCCTGTGACGTCACCGATTGAAATGCGCACTAAGGGACCGGTCATTATTTATGGCGGGGGGTGGCACCGAAGAGAAATGTTTTTCGTAGCAAAAATTTTGCTGACCCAACCATTAAAAAGTAAACAAAATTGATTACCCAACCTCAAATATCAATTAAAAAATAAATACCCACCCCTGGCCAAAAAATTTACAAAAGGTACTATTCAGTTGTCACATATGTCCTTTACCACTTCTGTGACATAAGTTTGATAATGGATTGTGAAATTTTCTGCAGTCTGAAGTTTCATGTTATCTGCACATGTAGCTACTTTCTTTGGAGATCCCATCGGAAATTGATCAAGATAATGGCTCTGATTGATATATACTTTTCGTTGTTTCTTTACACATTTAGTAAATCTTAGTATAACACCAAGTTCATCAATTGCTGCTATTTTGCTAGCAAATCCATGTATAATAAACCCGGGTGTTTTGCAATCAAAAGTGATGCAACCTGGATAGTGGAATAAGTTGATTACTGTAGGCACAATTTTTGGGCAAGGTGGGCTATAAGCTATAATCATTTGTATGGCTTATAGAAGGCTAATTGCCGTGAATAAATTGAATAATGAATGTAGCACAATATTTAATAGTTGCATGATGACGTCAAAGAAACTAGTCAGACTACATTTGCAAGTTTTGCAACTCTCATCGCTTAAATTCCCCATACCTGAATACAAAATAAACAGTAAACAACGATTACCTTTTACATACCATATATAAAACGGAGTTTTCATCCTTTCTGGAAACTCACTTCCTGAACTTTTGAGCGCAAATGTAATGTATTAAAAATGTATATCATATTCACAGCAGTTAATACCATTAATATATCGCGGGCGCAATACAAAACAAAACACGAGAATTTTAAAATGTTTTGATTTGCAAATAAATAAATAATATTTGATGTCATAAAAATTTTTAAATTTAACTCAACACAAACTGGTAAGTTCAGGACATGTATAATTTACTTATATGTTGTTATATTGCAATTCTGTACCCTACTCCTTTGAAAATTGTTTGCAATTGCATATGATGTGAACATGTGGTCATGTATTATAGTTGTGTCATGGATTTAATAATACCCCAATGGCTTCGAAATAGACAATGATTGGAAAAAGTCATGAATATTGAACTTGTTTAGCCTTTGAACACTTGATCGTCATGCGCATACAGTGTATTGTTCGTTTCCAGAACCCCCTCAAGCAGACTTAAACTTTTTTTGTTAAATTGTATATTTTGCTTCATACACTGCATGTGTGTGTGTTTGTGGGAACACTCATGTTTGGATGCTTGGCGTAGGTTAATGGTAATTTCATTGGAGTCATCAGGGATATAGTTGTATATTCCTGAAATTACCTTTAAACACCTAAAACAGCATTCCCTAAAATTTTAATTGTTTTCTTACATTGCCCTATATCGCTCAAACTCGCATTGCTTAAATTGCAGATTTTGCTTAAATCACCTAAATTTGCTTAATTAAACTTGCATTATCTCGTTATCGCCCAGAGTAGGGCCTACTGTTGCCATTGCTTTTTAGTCCCCAATACTTCAGTGAGTCATGCTTTGGAAATGACAATAATTTTTTATTACCCAACCCTTGAGTTGTTTTGTTTTTCATTTACCCAACCTTTTACTTACTCAAAATTTAGTTTACCCAACCCTTTTCTCTTCGGTGCCACCCCCCACCATAAATAATGACCGGTCCCTAAAGGACTAGCATAAAATGTTTTCTAATATTGCGGAATGCCAGAATCTATAAAAATGGTGTGATATTTATGACTCAACGTACTATTATTTAAGGATATTATTGTTGTTCAATATAAATAAAATGAAATTATATAATGACTTTTTTCAGGGGTGACAATAATTTAAATCAACCGCGATAATGCCTATTGCCTTATAACATTTTTGCGGTAGTGCGAAATTGTATTTACTTTATCTATCCTTCGTGAAGAATTTCTTCTTTCCCATGCCTGGTGCCAGCTATTAATCCAGCGAATCTTGTATTTGATTTTTTGCCTTAGATTCTACTCGTGATGTATAATGTATAGGTGTTTTGATCTTCTTACGAGTATGAGCCGGGCAAGCAGAAAATTAATTCTACTTCACCACGGCTGGGAATCGAACCCGCGACCTTTGTATTTCTAGGCGACGCTCTAACTTCTGAGCTACAAGGCCAAGTTGCGAACAATGTTTTTTTATTGTGTTGGTAATGACATGAATTTCTTTTTTTCCATGCCGCCATGGTGCCAGCTATTAATCCAGCGAATGTTCTATACGATTTTTTCCCCCTGAGATTCTACTCGTGATGTAATGTATAGGTGTTTTGATCTTCTACTCGTGATGTACTGTATAGGTGCATGTTGTGATCTGGGAATCGAACCCGCGACCTTCGTATGTCTAGAACGAGTAGAGTTGTTTTTCTCGAGTAGAATCTCAGGGGGGAGGGGGGAAATCATATACAACATTCGCTACATTAATAGCTGGCACCAGGCTAGGCATAGAAAAGAAAAAATTCGTTCATGTCATTACCATCAATTACATTGTTCCCAACTTGGCCTTGTAGCTCAAAAGGCAGAGCATCGTTCAAGACATACGATGGTGGCGAGTTCGATTCCCAGCCGTGGTCAAGTAGAATAAATTTTCTGCTAGCCCGGCTCATACTCGTAAGAAGATCAAAACACCTATACATTAAATCACGAGTAGAATCTCAGAAAAAAAATCAAAAACATTCGCTGGATTAGTAGCTGGCACCATGCATGGAGGCATGGAAAAGAAGAAATTCATGTCATTACCAACACAAAAAATAACATCATCACCAACACAAAAAATAACATCATTCCCAACTTGGCCTTGTAGTTCAGAAGGTAGAGCGGCGTTCTAGAAATACGAAGGTTGCGGGTTCGATTCCCAGCCGTGGTCAACTAGAATTAATTTTCTGCTAGCCCGGCTCATACTCGTAAGAAGATCAAAACACATCTACATTACATCACGAGTAGAATCCCAGGGAAAAAAAAAATAATAATTGAGGAGAAAGCGCAACCTTTCCTCTGGCATAAGTAAATGGTATAATGACGTTAAAATTTTCGTGCTTCCGATTCCCTATCAATTGGGCAATATAGCCTAACTGTTGGGAAATCTGCTCGCAAATGAATGAGAAATTGAGAAATTCAATATAATAATAAGGATGGGATCCTTAAGACTCGTGCAAACCATATACTTTTATATATACTTGGCAGAATTGAGCTAAGAGACCATGCATGTTTGAACTGCCGTTTAACTCTCTTTCTAATTTTTATTTTTGATGACAAGTTGTATGTTTCATTATATTATTTGTATTTCATTAAACGTATACATTTTCTCTAAGTAAAACTGCATACGTGCATGAGCATTTGAAGAACAATTACCACTGCGTTCTCGACGTTGTCTAACTGGAATTATAGTTCTTTTTCGTATTTCAATCGGGGATTTAGCTAACCAAATAAGGAGTTTTGAAATAATATTCAGCGAAGTGAGTTCGTAATGTTGAATATGGAAAATCATATTCGGCGTTGTGTCGTGTGCAATAGAAACACGAAAACGAAATGTGGAAACACGCAAAACAATATACTATATGTCCTGCCCCACTTAATATTGAATTCGAAGGACAATCATAATTGAATTAGGTTTTCGCCAGATATGAAGAATTATCAACTATGGCAGAAGTTTGTGTTACCACAAACCTCTGGCTTGATCATTCTTCTTATCATGTTCAACCTCATTCAATAATTGTTAAATAACTTTTTGCGTTATGTGATAAACTGAAGCAAGCTAGTCATCTGTGTACAGAAACAGTGTCATGCTAATATGCTCAAACTTTGAATTTGTTTCAAGTAGTTAACAACTGTTATGCAAACTCTTCCTTAAAAATGAAATATATATAGGCTAAATATTGATTAAACTAAGTGTTTTTGACACTTTGTTCCCTTTTAATCATTTCCTTGTCATTCGTAACAGACATCCCATGGAATATTAGTAAAAATTATTCACATAAAGGATATGAATTTGACAATGTTAACTATGGCAAATAACTCAACTATTCATTTATCCACAGCTTCAAGCGAGATTCTTCTGTTTTCAGTTGTGTTTAAATTTATTGCAATGATTATTGGAGGTTTAGGAAATATCACAGTTATAATTTACACAATTTTCTTGAACAAAGAAAAGACAGCGACATCTTACTTGGTAGGAAACTTGGCACTGGCAGATCTTCTCGTGTGTTTAACATTTTATCCAATATGGATAATTGAGTTTATACAGACCATATTGGACATTGATAGTGATCAGGACTTATTTTGTAAGTTAAGTCGTTCTACTATCTGGTCATTGCTGTTCGCTTCACTGGCGATACTTCTCGCAATTACTGTTGATCGTTATTTATATATTGTAAAACCTCTCAAGTATCCGCTGATTGTGACACGTCGACGAGTTTTTGTAGCTATTGTGGGAATCTGGTTAACTGCCTGTTGTCTTTTCATTGTCTTACAAGTTCATTTTAGCAGATTTGACTTTAAAATAAGAAGCTTCTGCATCGTCATATCTGACAACTTTTTCTTGGTTATGAATATTTTTATTGTCTGTGTTCACTTATTCTAATATTTATTCTCAATTTCCAAATTTTTAATGTTGCTCGGAAACAACGACAACGAATCTTGGCTGAAGAAAAGCCGACCGTTAATACTTCCAATGAACAGTCGCCCAAGAAACTGATCGGAATGCTTCGTTTCCTCGTCGGTTTGAAAGCAGCAAAGACGTTTTTTATTGTTGTCGTGGTGCTGGCTTTCTGTGTCTTCACTCCAACTGTGGTTGGGTTAGCGATAGAGTTTTATTGTAGTAAGTTATGCCGTCAGATTTGGTACCTGGTTTTTCATTTTGAATTTTATGGAATAAACTCAATTGTAAATGCTTTCATCTATGGAATGAGAAATATCAAATACAGAAAAGCTTATCGACATATTCTTTTTAAAATATTTCGCTGCAATAAACAGAGGGCCCCTAACACCCCTCCACAAAATGTGTGAAAAGATTTCGCTCCCATGAACGGTCTAAACTCACAAACTGCGTATAGGTGCCATTCTCTGCACTTACAGAAATTAACATCAAAGCAGTTGGTGAGGAGAGCTGACATAAGTGGACGGTGCACCATATAGATTGAACACCCATGAACATCTACCGTCACTTTATGGAACGAAATTTCAGAGGTACTGTAATAAAGATAAAGGCATACAAAACATTAAGCGAAAGATGAAATTTATAAATGAGAGAATTAGACTGTCAAATTTTGGTGTTTACAACTCGGAACCGAATTTCTCGTCGCGAGTGATGGCGAGTTGTCATATTCCTGTGTATAGGCTATAACCAAGCAATAGGGAGTAAAAGCTACCCACAAATAAAACCTTTGAAACAAATACCTCTTTCAAACTATTTTAGAAAATTCTTTCTGCTTTGCTTTTTGATATCTGTATCCCAACCTCTTTCCCAGGGTATTTAGGAAATACCCTGGTATGGACTGGTCACGTGCCTCGTCCAAAATTTAACGCCCGAAGGGGTGTGGGGAAAGTATCAAATTACATGATTCCAGTGAAGATATTTTGTTTAACAGTTAAAAACATAAATTTGCGAATTATTAAGTTCAAAATACTTGCTAATTTTTGTTTATTTTCTTTGCTTTGAATTTACAAGAACATTCTTACGTTTTTACCAACAGTCAAGTCAAGATTGTTGTTATTCAATTGTTGTGTCTCGTTTTTGTTAATATTCAATGCCGTCTCTTCACACCCGAGCGCGGTTTTATAACAAACGTTTATTATGAGCTTTTCAAACACTAACATTTTTAAAGTTTTCATTGTGAATCATTTGTTTATTTCTAGTTCATTAGTCATTAATATGCTCTAAAAAACAAGGCTCTCAAATATATTTGTATATTTATTTGATAGTGTCATAGTGATATATGCATTTACAAGCAATCCTGGATATGATATTAAAGACGATACAAGTTGCCATTAAAAAATAGCGGTATTCTATTCCACAAAGCAAAACATTTAAATCTCACTTGTATTATTAAGAATATATATAAAGCAAAAAATTTAAACTTGTGTGAGTTGTGTCAAAACGAAAGCTGTTTGTAAAATTTATAAATGTTGTAAACACTACTATTATTAATATAAAGTGCCCATTGAAAAACATAATATAGTATACTGTCGTTTGACTTATCTTTGATGTATGATTTTAATACTGTAGATTTTCAACAGACAGCTAGACTTTAACAATATACCATGTCCATGATTGTTGAGTTTCAGCAATGCCAAGGGCCAATACAGGAAGTTTTATAAGCTTTTATAGTCAACAATCTGGATACAGTTGGCGTCTTGGCGATATTTAGTCAGAAATCAAAAGATCTCGCTATTTCGTTGCAATTCCATGCCACATGATCGCGAGTATCTAGATATACTTTACTAACAGTTAAATAAATGAATAACCACATTGTTCGGTCTAGATATATACATTTTCTTGCACTGCTTTATATTGCCACGCCGTCCACGCCTGCTTTCTCAGTGACAAGTCTATAAGTTGAAATCCGATCCAACTTGCTTGAATTGTAACTCGACGCTAGATTATAGAGTAGAAAGTCACATCAAGATAAATATTAATTTTTAATTGCAGTTCTTATCACGATTTCTTTGAAGATTCAATGGATATTGTTTATATTTTATATAGAGCGATCTAATTAATTGTGACAATATATACTCACTCCCCCGACCCTAGTAAACAATACGCCATTTTACGCAAAATGCGCGGGTCACGTGACCAGGCTCTACCAGGGTATTTCGCTCTCCAAGAGCAAATACCCTGGGTACGAGGTTGTCTGTATCCCAATCTCGTTCCCCGAGCCTGCGATCCTCGGGAAGGAACGCGAGGCTCTGCGGACCATTGAACTATAAATAAACTGGAAGGCTAACTCAGGGGGGGAAATTGAAGCCAGTGCATTTTAGTTTTTCTGAGTTATAAGCAGAAATACTCAACACTGAACGTTGGGCTATATATCAAATTGAAACTATTGAAAAACTCTATTTGGTGTAAAAATTTCAAGACTTTAGCGAAAAGGGAAATATTGAAAAACTACAAACATAATTACCGATAATTTGCCGTTTTGCAGTTGTTTTTGTATTTTTTAAATATTTTTCTTTTCGCTGAAGTCTTGAAATTTCCACACCGAATAGCAATTTTCAATAGCTTCAATTTGATATATAGCCCGACGTTTGGGGTCAAGTATTTCTGCTCATAACTCAGAAAAACTATTTTGGCTTCATCAAATCATAGGCCTTCATCATAGCAGTTAGCCTTCCAGTTTATTTATAGTTCAATGCTGCGGACTTGTAGAATTCCAATCAAACTTCAACTTACAGGTAAGTCTCGTTTAATTTTAAATTATGAGTCCTTAATTCTATATATTATCGAACTCGTGCAAATTGCAGTCGAAACCATACTATTATCTACGTTTATCCCCGAGCCAACGGCGTGGGTTGCCGTGCGAGGGTATACTAATTCCGCCCGGCTATTTACCCCCGGGGAAACGAAAGCATTAGCGAAG